ATCTTTTCACAGAGGGATAAGATACACTTTAAATGAAACCAGAGAGCGTTGACAGTGAGGAGAAGGCAGAAATGACTCAGCCTGGAACTGAAAATATGGATGGAGGACAACAGAGCTGCTTCATGGAAGAAGAACCTCAGATTAGCTTGTTAGCTTTAGCGTTAGCCCCGATGCTATCACCATATATATATGTATTAGCTCAGCGCTACACATTCTCCTCTCGTCACTGAGGTTTTCCTTCCATAATTTTTTTAGATAATCTTTAAAAACTGCCGCACTGTCAAAAAACGGGAGTGTCTGTTAATCCATGTTTTAGCTGCTTGTGTAAATATAGCGACTAACTAGGCACCTGCATCTGTAATCGCTCTGAAGAGTTTGTGTGTCTGACCTGCTGTGCTGCACAGGCAGGTGTTTCCGGTGAATTCCATGGCTTCCCTCCACAAAGGCGCTGGGCGGTTTGTGGTAAACTGAAGCCAGGGAGCCGATGTGGCAGATCAGCTCGTCCAGCAGGGTGGGCTCGATCAGGTCCGTCTCCTCTGAGATCAGGGGCTTCTCTGACAGCACCACCTCCTTGGCGGTCACGGGGTCGGTGGACAGCAGGCGCCAGTAAATGTAGCCCCTGTCACGGAGGTCAGGGTTGTCCGAGTCCTGAAGGAAAACACAAATTGTTGATATAGTGGCAGGGAAAACTGAAACACACAAACTGGCAGATAAAACAAGATGGCAATCACCTGTGTGGCCAAACTGAGGACCTGCTGCACCAGCTCCTGAGTCTCCGATGGTTTCTTGAGAAACAGCTTGACGATGGCCGTCAACAGAGTGAGCTGCACCTGCAAACCCAAAATTTAAACTTTATAGTCTATTTTCAGCATGCAGCGTGTTCTTTTATTAACGTGGACCCACCTGAGTGCTCTCATCGTGGAAGCCCTCCAGGAAGCTCTCCAGCAGCTCGTCGGCGTTGTCGATCCTCTCCGCGTACTCACCGACAATCCAGATCATGGCGCCGCGAGCGTCAGGTTCATCCAGAGAGTCCAGATTCTCACAGAGTGTGGCGATGATGCTCTCGTACCTGAAAAACATCCGTACCTCAGGGGTCAGAAATAAGCTGAACTACGGTTTATTATTATACTGTAAGTCCAGTTTGTTCTCAGGCATTCTGAGGGAGAACTTACTTGTTGGGGTACTTGCGGAAAATGTCCCTGATGACCACAATAGCCTCCTGAACCACATAGTTGACCTTAGTCTGGATCAGGTCCAGCAGAGTGCTGACGCAGCGCTCAGCTGATTGCTGCGAGGGAATGAAGGATACACCTAAACTCWGCTTTTCATGTAGCAAAGAACTCATAACAAAAACACTTTTAATACATCTGCAACGACCATGACAAACCTTTTTAGACATTTCTCAGTAGAAGGAGCATTCTATAATATAATATAATATAATAT